TTAGACCTGTACTATAATACTAGATGTGTACTATAATACTAGACCTGTAATATAATATTAGACCTGTACTATAATATTAGACCTGTACTATAATACTAGATGTGTACTATAATACTAGACCTGTACTATAAYAYTGGACCTGTAATATAATACCARACCAATTCTATAATAYAAAACCTGTACTATAACACTGGACCACCGTGTGACAGTTTCATTATTCCATTTTCTAACTTATATTTTTATGTATCTGTAATCATTGGTGCACATATATACACAAGTAAAAGACGACACAGTGATCTCCACCACTTTCCACCATTTTCACACTWGTTCAGGTCACACACAGGGACCTGATGCCCCAAACTGGACTGTGATACTTTGTGCTAGGAAAAGATGGTATCTGCGAAAAAAGTCCATAGGAAAAAAAAAGAAAAAGAAAAAAAAAAGAAAGAAAGAAAACAAAGGAAAACAAAAATACAAACAGAGCACAAAGCCAAGTGTTTCTGGGCTAAACTACTAAGAAAGAAACAGGACAAAAAGGGTAATAAAACAGAAAAAAAGTGTTTATACAAAGAAAACACAAGTGAACAAAATTCAAAATCAAAACGAAGCACAATTCATTTAAGCTCTTATAAGTTTCATAAGAAATTAAGTTTATTTTGCTTGGTTGTTTTTTTTTAATGAGACATGATTGCTGTGATGACCTCACCACTCAGGGGTCTGTCTTTGTTTTGCTTTACAGGTGAACCAGGCTAGCAGAGGCATCAGACACAGCCAAGCCTGGTGTGATCTGTACATTCATAACCCACACATGCTTTACACACCTGAYAACCTGGTTATTTTGGCTTTTCTTTAACATAAATAACCATTTTTTATATTCCATCATGTTTTTTCTTATTATTTTTACAGGTTTGAGTCAGAAAAAACTACAGACTAGACATCTGAGGGCCATTTATTGTTACTTGAAGCTGATTAACTTTTCAACAAGGTAATAAATGTGAAGGTGTTCAGCTCCATAGAGTGGACTTCATTATCTGTGTTCACACTTACCTCTTCTGGGAACTCTTCTCCAACCAGAGACATGATGAGGGAGGTCTTCCCCACCTTGGCTGTTAGAGGGGAAAAAATGCAGAGAGAATAAGATTACTTCACCTGGGTTTGTACGTTAGCAGCTGCTGACCATGAGAGTGGTTACGTTTCAGCCATCAATCCTGGTTTCAACTCACAAGTGTCAATATATAAGTGAGAGGAGGACGGTTTTAAACAGGAGATGTGAGCAGATTCTGGTCTCTCTGGGGAATAAAAGCTTGGCAGAAGCCACAGAAATGGGTTGTGTTTATCTGCAGCGATGGCTGCCATAGTGGCTGGTCAAGTATCCCAGAGGTGAAGATAGCTAAAGACTGGATAGAGAGGTTCTTAAGTTAGGAAGGGCTCAGTGAGAAATCACTAGAAAACTGATGAGGCCTTGACTTTTCCTCACAAAAAGGTTTTCCTGCAAAGAAGTGTTTGATTTATGGGGGAAAATTCTTTACTATTTATGTTAAATATTAAAAAATACTAGATCACAGCTTGAGCTGCAGTAGTCTGAAGCAGCTTTTAAAGAAAATCAGTCAAGAAAATAACTTTATTATTATTAATATTTTGTATTTCTGTTAAATTACAGAACACATTTACAGCTGAATAATAGGAATGTCCAAATGTTTTCACTTTATAAAGCAATATAAGCTAAAGATACATTTCTATTATTAGACAGTTTGTGTGGATATGAGCATGAGAATGTAGGAAAATGTAGGTTTATTTACAAAGAAATATTTATGTGCATATAAATGAATTCAGCTCTATATACTTATGTAAAAATGGTAATGTTTCAGATTATGATCACAAGTTTATTATTATTCCTTCTCGAACACAGGATTGCTATTACTGAAATGTTTGTGTGTTACAGGATTACACGTTCAGTTTACATAGGTTTTTAATCTTTAAAGTACAAAATAAACAGATCAATCAGTCATGACAATAGGAAGAACTGCAGGAGTTTGCTGTCTGTAGTAAAATATTTTGCTGATTAGTTGAAGCTGTGTAACCTTAGCTGCTGTGTACAGAGCCCTAAAGGGATTGAAGTTGACTGAAGACTTTACACCTGTTGCAGGCTGTATGGCAGGTAGTATAAGAAAGGTTTAGGGTCTAAATATCTACACTATATAACAGATTTTTCCCAAAATTTGAAACGTGTGTGCTCACAAATGTTTATTTTTAGGCCTCTTCCTTCTTTTGCATCTCATAAAATGACCTCATACACGGGTTCTGGCTGTTTATTACAACATTATAAAATGTGTTGAGCCTAATATGACATGCCTTCATAAAAGACTGGTTTTAGTATCTCATCTAAAAGACTTTCAGAGGTAAACTGGAGGAGGAAAATATTAAAATTGAGCTCCAGTGTCAGTGTGACTTCAAACTTACTTTGGAGTAAAAATAATCCAAGCTAACACACCGGAAATTCATATTTACAAAGCAGCTGCCGCAAAACGAATATTTTTATCTGAAAGAGCTACTTTTGGAATGTTTACTAACGCAGGTTTCGACATCAGAAGTGACCGAAGTGAGCTCGTTTTCATGCTGATAAGTTAGTTAGCCTCAGCGGCTAATGTTTGCTAATCGACTAAACTTGTGTGAGACTTACGTTCTCCCAATAAAAGTATCCTGACGTCTTGTTTCATGTTTCGTCACTATCTGAAAACCAAACACACGCGCCGAACTGCCAATTAAATATTTATCTTTCATCTGAATATGAATTTTCTAGCTGAAACCAAACCTGCGCTTCTCAGCACAGAGATAAATGCGCTCCCAAGGTGAAAACCGTACTGTTCCGGTTCATTCAAACCTAAAGACCGCAGAACCACGACCCCTGCTGGACAAACTGCGAACAGCATCTTCATCAACACATTTATAAAAAGACTTATTGCAGTGATTTTCATTTAATAATAAATAGCTTTCTGATTACCATTTTACTTGGCACAAAGCTGGTCTAAAAAAAACATAATAACTTCCAGGAAAATAAAATTAATACCTTGTTATACTGCCAACCAACACATTTAAACAACTTTTAATTTGAAATCCATCCATCTAGGCTTTCTAAAACATATTCCAAGGATTGAATGGTTGTATTTATTTCAGCTCAAATACATTACTAGGAAAGAATGATATAATCGTTTGCAAGCTGCATCCCTAAAATAACTGTACAAGAACAGATAGGCAAAGTAGCATGTGGTTAAAATGTAAATGCTGGCTCAGACAAGCTGCTACAGCTTACTGACACGAGAGAGCTGAAAGATAAAACTGTGAAAGGAATTATAAAACTTATTCAAGATGACTGAACACAAAGCTTAGCAAAAAACAAAATAAACAAATACATTTCCACCCCCTAGTCAGAAGTCTAAAACCTGTTTGAAACATACTAAGGGACCAAAAAAGCATGAAGACAGCAGTGAGAATTTTTTTTATTTAAGTCAATGAAACAAATAATTAGATCTTAGACAAATGAAACATTTCTGGGGAGATATATTTTAAAAAGTCTATTAAGCAGTTCCATTGTGTTGAGATACGTTTAAGGACTAACATTTTTATTTTATCATTAATGATGTCTGCACTTCAGAATATTCATTGGCAAAAAATAAGATGAGGTTTATTGTTTCCATCGTAATACAGATAATACTATCTACTTTTAGAACCACGTGTAGCATCTCCTAATCATATATAAGCATTAAAAGACCTTTCTATTTGCTTTAAAAAAAGGCAAACACTAGAAAAAAAGGCCAGGAAGCATAATCTCTTTCATAAAAAAGTTTATTTTAAAACCAAACATGAACAAAATATGGTCATAAACTCCAACCTAATATCCTAACAAATGAATATTGGAACAGTAAAATCCTGCCGGGTGCAGTAGTGGACAAACCTACAATATTAAAATGTCCAAACAGATGTGAGGTTCTCAGAGGCCGTGCACCTCCCACAGCAAGACCTCGTTATGAGCCACAGATAAAAGAAGCGTCCCGGAGGGAGAGAAGTGACACGTCTGCAGAGAGTCGCTGTGCAGCAAGAAGTCCTGAAATCTTCCACTGGTGGACTCCAGCAGCTTCAACACTCGCTCTGGTGTCAGATTAAACAGAGTGAACACTTTAATAAGCATCTGCCAGGGATTTATTCACAGGAACATAATTTACTAAATCAGCCTTCACCTTTACATCCCACAGCTATGAGTTGCTTCTTAGAGGAGAGGCTCAGGCAGGTGACCCAGTGGGGCAACGCAATCTTTTTTATTATCTATTGGAGAATAGATATGTTTAAATTTAGATTTTCACACACATTTGTGAGCGTTTTGTTAGCAACTCACTGACTGAGCAGTGAAACATAAAAACTGAACCGTTACCTGTTTGCTCACTAAGCTGTAGAAAGTCAGCTCTTTTTCTACTCCATAACCAGAGTAGACCACCAGGCTGTGATCCGATGGGCAGAAGGCAGCCAGGCTGGGGGGCAGGCTGTCACCCTACGACACAAAAAGTAAACTTATTAAATTAAAGAATAATTAAACCCCAAATATTTTTTTTCTTCTACAATATTTGGTCTAAAACCATCTTGGTGCTGCCCTCTAAGGGTTGAACGGTGGCTTCTGCAGTTGAATTTTCCTACCAGTTAAAACGGTACAGCTTGGTACATGCTTACATCACAGATCCTGTGTTCTGGAATAAAAGCCTGTCACTCAGAGACATGCCTCTGCTGTGAGTCAGGAGTTGGAATAGTGAGCACTATGATGAAATTTTGTTACTGTCCTGATGCATCTCAGTAATCCAGGTAGAAAAAAATCAAAAAGAAAAAATAAGTAGGAACTCTGGATGGGTTCTTCTTTAGTGAAACGTTTCGTCTCTCCTCCAAGAGACTTCTTCAGTCTGATGAGTTTCAGGTGAAACTCAGCCTTACAAGCCCTGCCTCCACCTGGTGGACAAACAGGTTAGTCAAATGCAAAATAGAGTCATCGACTTACAATAGGCTTGATTGGCTCTATTGTTCATAGAGGGTCATGTGCCCCATCACCTGACCCGTGTCGAGTTACGTGAATGTAGTGAATGCAAGCGGGGGTTCAACATCCCCTTGCTTTTGTCCCTCCCTCCCTCCTTGTGTTGGTATCATTGGGGTCCTGATTCACACCTTTTGCTCACAGGGGGCGGAGTCATACTTGCAAAGACAGCCTTGTAGGAGGAAGACAACTGGACACGAAGGCCTCCACCTCTGTTTAATGGTGGACGGTTTTTCTTCACAAAGATGGCTTCCTTTACTCCTCTCTCTCTCTCTTTGTTACTGCTTTAAATATTAGCCCATGTTAGCAATACTGCTGTTAGCATCACTTTAACACCCAGAAACTGGACCCATTCTGTCCTCCATTGTGTTCAGGATCTGTGAGATTTAAAAAGTCTGCTTTGTCTTATTCCTGATTTAGTAACATTAATGTTTCATGGTTGCATCAAATGCGATGACCAAAGATGTCATCGTGTTTCATCTAAACACAACTATAAAATTAAGAGAAAATAATACAGAGAACTTAATGACAGCTTAATCCAACATAAAGTGTACCGCAAATGGGGCTGGAGCGGGGAAGGACAGCCAGTCTAAGAGATCACACTTCTCCTTCGACCAATCAGCAGTCCACACACTGACGCGTCTGTCGGCACTCGCAGCCAACCACAGCTCACTTCCTTCCAGGCCAAACTTCTTGCACTGAGGGTGACAGGATAAAGCAGCTTTTAAAAGGCTAAGAAAAAAAATAATCTTTTACAAAATGTTACAAAACTTAAATACAGTTCTGCTATTAAACAGCAAAATGATCTAAAATGTTGTTTTCTGCAAGTAAGTTTGCTAATTAGGTGTTTCATTCAAGTTACAAACATATTTACAGTAAAAATCTAGTGTGATGTGTATTTCATCCTACAGAGATCTTATTGTTGTGTCTGTGCCTCTAAGCCTGTAGTCTTGGTTGGACTTCAGTAAGCTGACCTGTTCATTCACACATTGGATCATGGAAACAGTCGCTCCTTTGTGGTCCCTGATGACAMGAATTGTTGCTCCATTTAACCGGCTAGTCACGGCTATTAGACCATTCCTCCCCGCTGAAATGATCACGTGACCTAAAGGCAGACATAAACGGTAACGATGAAGATGCTCTGTGGATGAAGCTTCTCTYATTTTTACTGCTGTTAGCCCTGGGCCTTTAAATCAGATTGTGACAAATCCTGATAGCTAAAAAAAATACATTTTAGCTGGATGCAAGAAGAAAAACTATTTCTTCCTCACCATTAGCAGAGTACTGGATGGCAGTGACAGCCACCTGATGAGGATGAAGCTTCATTTCCATTTCTGTCGAAACGAGCCTGAAAATCCTCAGGGTCCCGTCACTGTACCCTGCAGCTACTGTCATGCTGTCTGTACTAGAAGAAGGGCTCCAGCAMACACAGCCACAGGTCTGACCAAGACAGACCGGCCAAACATACTTTTATTAAAAGATTTGTCGACTTAGAATRTTCTACAGCTGCACATTACATCACATATAGTATCAGTGCTGGGCTTCCAAACTTCTGCTCTTTTCTGAGACGTATTCTCTCACCTGGTTGAGGACCTGAAACTGCACCACCAGTTCATAGCTGGAGGTCGACCATATCCTCACACTGCCATCCTCGCTGCAGGTCGCAAAGTGACACTCGTCATAGCTAAAAACRACATCATTCACCTGGACGAGAGAGAAAAAAAAAGAGTAAATAAAGATTAAAAYCTCCCAAACTAAATGTATTTCCTCCTACCTGAGTGTGTTTATGTTAACAGCATGGCTCCTGATGATGCAATAATTACTTATCTATTTTAAACCTTTCCTTTATCAACAATCAATGCAGCAAAAATAACTATAGGAAACTTTTAAAAATTGTGAAGCAGAAAAATAAACAAAACCCCACAAAAAATTTTTTTTCTTTTTTCTTTGAAGCTTTCATTGGATACTTATGCCATGGCAGCAGAAGATGGGTAGAAAAGCTGAAAGACAGTCTGACCCTGCTGCCTCTTTTACAAATAGATTCAGAAAACCATTTCAGATATAACAACATAACATTATATCTGAAATGGTTTCATTTCAAATGCTGCAGTTTCAAATTCAGATTTGCTTTATTATCATTCAAACATAACATCAGGGATGCAATGAAGAACGAAATGCAGTTAAGATCACCCATTCAAGGAAAACACACGACAAAAACATGGGGGAACAGGTGAACAGGTCATCTGCAACACGGTCGCGCTGCCTTTTTGCAGCTTGGAAATACACAACAGGAGAGATGATTTTAAAAAAACTGCTCTGATCCTATGTTTACATCATAAACACAGAGTCATATGCATAAAAAAACCACTCGCGACAGAGCAGACAGCTGGGKAGGTGGGCGGGCTTGGGTCAGAACACAACACAGGTAAATTACCTCACATCTGCTTATAGGTGATAAATGTGGAGTCTGACTGCAGACCTTTAGATTCTGAGGTTGTTTCTGCTGTTTGACACAAACACTTCACTAACATAGCTTCATCCAGTTTAGTCATCAGTTGCCCAAACAAGAGCAACTGAAATGTTTCAGGTCATGTCATTACAGATGACAAGTTTAACACAACAAACTCATGTGGACTACTTATCTTTTTTGTAAAGATCAATTTTTATGAAAATCAAGGTTATTTTTTTTCCTTCAAAGCTGGCACTGGTTACCTTGGTTTGATGTCCGCTGACCAGACGGATGCTGCTGTTGTCTGACCAGTTGATGTACCAGAGGGTTCCTGCGGTGGTCCCAATAATGCCCATCTCCAAGGAGTTATCAAACGCTGCACTGACCACCGTCCCGTCCAGCATCATCTCTTGTTCCAACACCACCTTCGTCTCACTGCAGGACACAAGAAGGTAAATATATAAAAACTATTATTAAACTATTCTTTCTTAGCTTACTTTAAGTATCACACACTGACAAGCAATTGCCACAAAAAGGATGTCAAATGATAATATATGAGCTAAAAGAGTTAAAACCATATATGCTGAACACCTTGCTGTAGATTAAAAGAGCCACAGAAACCCACTCCATTAAAACTTAGTCTTTAAACATAAATGTGAGTTCAGTTTCATGAACAAAAACACATTAAACACAACAATAAGTTCAGTTAAAATTTACTTGTTAATTACTAGTGGCAGTGTGTTTCAATAGATCACAAGCTTTTCTTTGTGCCTATTGACTGATGATCAGTATTTTATTTGTTATACCGAAGATCTTTTTTTCTATGGTGGTTTTATTTCAGTGCTACAACAAACTGATACAGGCACTTCTGGAACATTTTACTATTTGTTATATTGAGTAAAATACCAGAGCTAATTAAGCTTTTAGAACCTGAAGTTATTTCTGGTGCAAGACCTCAAATCCCAGAAAGTTTAAAGAACAGAAGTTGAACATTTAAGATCAGAAGAAAAAAAGAAAATGAAAAAAGGAGGAGATTTTGATTTTTGTTTTGTTCAAATGTCACAGAAAATGTGGGACATCAGGTAAATAAAATGGATGCGCTTATAGCAAGAATGCAGAATGGACATAAGTAATTATTAATTAGTGCAGAGCTGATGCAGCTGCAAACAAAGTTAACAATAAAAGAACAGTTATTGTCCCCCATTCTTAAAGATTTAAAAATGCTCTGTCTGTCCATTACAATTTCAGAAAGCTGTAACTTTCACATAGAAAGGCTAAAATACACCAAAGCTGGTATGAGCTATCCATTTTGAATGCCTGACATACCATGTGGTCATATGACATCAATAAAACCCCGCCCACTGACAACACGAAGTGACCTATCTTTGGCTTGAAGAGCTCCATCTCTGACCCTCTTGACCTAATCAGCAACAAATTGTGTCAGAACACAGATAAGAACTGCATCTCACTTGCTTCTACATATTTCAGCCAATCTGCACCCAATTTCCCATGGTCAATCCTAATCCACCCCACTACAGGAATGCAGTCCAATTTTGGGGGGCGTGACCTAAATTCACATCATGCCCTTGACATACGTTTGGCCTCTAAATCACACATACATGATTCGATCTGAACCAAATTTTGCGTGCATCATAAGGGAGACCAGCTCAGCACGTTTGTAAAGTAGTTTAACAAGACCACTTTAGCCCCCCATTCATCCATCCGTCTGTTCACCTTATGAGATTATTCAAATAATGAAGGCCTGTGATGATTCCAACAAAATTGCTAACAGTTGGTCAGGGGACAGGGGACATCAGTGACTGTTGGCATCAAGTTCTATCTTGTTTACACAGGAAGGTTTTATCCAATATATGTGATTAAAGTGATTAAAACATTAAGAAAAAAAGCTGAGGTTAAATGCTAATATATTTTTGAACTGAATAAGAACGTTGATGTATTTATGAAAAACACATACAAAAAAAAAAAACAAGACAAGTGAAACAATCTAGACTTCTGCAAACACATTCCCTCTGGACCCACTGACATGATGACATCATATAAGTACTTTATGTAACACTAGACTCTGTCTAGTAACTGTCTACATACCCATCTACACTGCAGACTTTACCCGTGGACCTAAAATCCCGGACAGCCTCAACATCCCACAGACGTAGCCAGTGTGTGTTACTGCCTGTCAACAAACAATTTCCTCGACAAAGCAGCACACCTGCACAAAAAAAATATATCAGTCCAAACTCTGGGTTAAATTAAGTGAGCCATGTGACAATGTATATATTTTAAAAGCTACAATTTTATTTTTAGTGTCCATTTTTACCTATTTCTCCATCAGAGGCTTCCCAGATCATGAAGCAGCTCTGTGTTTTAATGTCCCAGGCACAAACATGTCCTTTATTAGTGCTTGTGAACAGAAAGTAGTCCAGATGGTAGCACAGAGCTGTCAGCTCAACATCACCCACCTCAGCTGGTGCTGTCACCTTTTGGACCTACATAGGTAAAGAAGAAAATGGTGTTAAACTAAACAAAAGGTACAGATTTTTCTCACTCAAAATCCAGACAAGTAAAAAGTAAACTGGAGCAAAATGTAAACTATAAATGCAGGAATTCACCTTGAGGTCAACGTTTGGTCCCTGTGTGTGGAGGAGGCAGAAATAAAGCCCCTGACTGCCCACACATGCCATCTGATTAGCTGCTGAGGGGCTGAAGGCAGCATCATGAACTGGACCCGTCAACCTCACACTGGACATCAACTGGAAGTTCTTACTGCTCCACAGAGCCAAGCTTGGGTCAGAAAAATCACCTATACCACAAACGTAACAAATAATCGGCAATTATAAGCAGAGTCATTCGATTCCACACAGATTCAATGTTTGTTGCACTTTAATTAGGTAAAATAATTCAAGCGACTTAAGATGAATTTTACCAACCAACAGAAAGAAATAAGAGGTCATCCTGGGAGAAAGCGAGACTCTGTACTGCCCCCTTATGATAGGAGACGGTACTGCGACAAACTCCATTCTGAATGTCCCAAATCAAGATGAGGCTTCTGCTGTTGTCACTGTTGTAAGATGCTGACGCYAAGACCTGGAGAACAAAGCAGATGCAAAACACAACTTACTATACTCTATACCAGTTGTTCCCAAACCTTTTAGCTTTAAAAACAAACTTGTAAAAGGCTTTGCTTGTCCACTTATGGTTACTTTTTCTCTTTTTTAAAAGTCATAAATTTGAACGAACTGACAACAAATCACAATCTTACAGGCAGGTTTGAATTCATCTTTATAAAACAGTGAAGTTTTTTGTTTTTCTTTAAATGTACCTGTGCATCATTTGTGAGAGCAAGACAGGAGATCTCCTGGCTGTGGCCCCGCAGGTGACTCTGACTTTGTGAATGAAGATACTCCACCACCACAACGCAACCACAGGAGTACGCAAACAAACCTGCAGTAGGCCATTATTGCTTGGTTACAACAAACTAACTAATTAAATAACTAATTAAATAACTAACTAACTAACTAAATAAATAAATAAATAAAACAAAGGAAATACTATGAAGCGAGCAGAGAGCATTTTATTTTCAGGTTTATGTTCAGTTTAGAATGATAATTTAATCTTTTCAACGTTCAAGTTGGAGTTTGGATCACAACCTTATAAGTAATGAAAAGAAAAAAAAAACTATTGTTACTTTACTGCAACAGCTTAGCAGATGCATTTAACTTTGGGAAGTATGTTTAAATTGTATAAACCTCGATCAGGGCTCCACACCATGTTGCCGCGACCATTTCCGTTGTAGCCAATCACCGCTTTTAGCTCCATGCCTTCTTCATCTTTTTGGGGAGTTACAACAGTCTGGATAGGATAAAAAAAATGTTTAAATCAATTAGAAACACAAACACACACACATTAACTTTAATCCATCAATGAATAAAATGCTCCTAACCTGATCAAGAGAGGAGGTCTTGAAGGGGAAAAAGTGTTTGTAGCAATCTGGATGCACAGGCTTATCTTGATTCAACTCAACTAAAGCAAAAATTATGAAAAAACAATTGAAAATGTTCGTTTAAAAAAATCACACACACAAAGTTAGCTGACTGGTAACACTAGACTGAGGTTTTTACCAGGTTCCATGTTTTTTACATTCAGAGGAGATGGTTTCTCCAGGTCTGTGACTTTAAGAAAGGAGACAGCAGATGTGGGATCAGAAGTCCGATCGGGACTCGTGACAGGAACTGGACCGGTTTGGTTTGCTGGGCTGTTTTCACCAAAAGACAAGGAACCCAGACCTGAGTGAGACAAGAGAAGAAAATCAATCTAATCAACTGGTACTTTACTTAGTAAATTAATGGATCCAAGACGTTTTTATTGTCATAAATCCAGGGCCTGATGATCATCACAGTCATTCACTCACTCCAACAGAACTAAAAATAAAAGTTGTGGAAACAATGAAGAAAGCAGACAAACAGCTCTGACCTCAACTCAATCTAGCTGCTGTTTGCACCGGTTCTGTGCAGGGGCTCTGACACAACAAAACGTAATGTTATGCATATAACTACTGTTCCCTGAAGGAAAGGAACGAGGTACAACATATGTATGGGAACCACGCCCCTGCGTGTCCTGGCTGAAGCCACCTCTAATCACGCCTTTAGGCAGGTGACGTGATGACGACAGATGTCAGGCTCC